ACACATACGATCGAGCGGGAATTCACAACTCTCAGAATTTCGAACAGACTGCAAAAATGCTAGGAGCTTCTCAAGTCCTCTTAAGCATCGACTCCCCCGCTCAAGCAGTGGGAGAAATTCTGGATCATTACAATGGACATACTTGCTCATGCAGAAGGTGTGCTTTAAAGGGTATACCTTTTGCTCATGGTGTGTCTTCTATCTGGTACAAGAGTGAGACACCTGAAGATTATGTGAATGAATGCTAGACCAATTTAAAGATTTATTATGAAAACATGATACAACCTCTAAATTGTAGTCCAAGACTGGATTATTACCTACATTACCTCTTGTTTATCATAAGCCTCCAGGAAGGCTTCCAACTTCTAAAAGGAATAGACCAGATGAACCTACCAACATCATAAGGCAGAATATAACATGGGGCTATAACTATAGGAGCTAAAAGAATCCACCAAACAGGAAGTATGTGGGCTCGCCATTTTCGCGCCCTCTTTCGGAAGGTTTGAAAAGAAAAGGCCTCATAGTTCGGACTCCCGCGGTTCTGAATCTAGTCTCACAAGTGCAATGTGAAACTGATAAACACAAAAGAGTCCAAATTTAGCAAATCGTTTTGGAAAATTGATTTTAAATCAAATAATGTCAAAATTGGACTGTTTTGCCAGATACAGAGTCGCTACTTAAATATTTTTTATTTTGGAAAAATTTAGAAAACCCTAACTCGTGCCAAAGGCCACGTGTCCGTCATCACCAAAGTTGCCTCGGCTCGGGAACTTGGGTACGAAGGGGGAAGGTCATGAATTGAGCACCCCCGCTTGCCCGATCAAAGCTCGACCTCTACTAATCATGATATGATTTTTTATAAACATTATGTGCTCTTATTCTAATTATTAGATTAGTTTTACTATGTGATGCGCACAAGCAAGTATAGATTAGTTTGCAAGACTTGGAACAATTCAACTCATGTTTGTTTGAAAATAGTTTGAATTTGCCACCTTAAGTGCGCTTAAAGTTGCGAATTTGCCACCAAACATAGTGGGCTTAAAACATGATTTGCCACTCAACAAAATGGGCTTAAAATGCACATTTGTTGAATCATTCCAACTCAAACAACAAGCCTTCATCCACAAGCATTCATGCAGTTTAGCATTTAAGCACATAGCCTCATGGCAAGCATGCTAATCATGGTAATCACTTACACTCATACAAGTATGCTAAAGCGTAAAAACTCACCTAGTACTCCAAGCTAGGAGATATGAGTTAGAAAACTATGCATGATTCCGAACTATGTCAAATGTCTAATGCAACACATGCAATGAATGCAATTAATTGGCTCGGCTACTAATATGGCATATGATTTGATTTGAACAACATGCGGTTAAACACGTATTCAAAGAAGATATTGAAATGGCAATGCAGTTTGAATGATGCGCCGAGCCTCAGTGCATGCAAGACAAGATAAATGGATGCAAGCATGCGATATGCTAATTGAAATATGATCCCTAATCTAACCATCAAAAGTGATTAAATAAAAAGGAGAAAGACATGGGGTTGTAAGACATACACACATGCACGCACACTTATTACAACATTACGTCCTCACGAAGGAGGGTCCGAATGAATAAGAGCTAAGCTAATCCAATTAAGTTAATTAGACTAAATATTACAAACCAAATGAATAACTAGTTAAGCTAATTACTAATTATTACAACACTTTAACTAACTAGTAAACTAATTAATTAATTTACAACACAAATGTACATAAACTAAGCATGTAAGACATTAAACTGTGCTGCCACTGCTCTGCCTTGGGAGGTGGAAGATGCACATGCTCGGTTTTCGCCCCGAAAGGACCTCTGTTTTGCTCTCGAGAGTCTCTGTTTGCAGGGTTGAACATTTCCAGAACCTTTCTATTCCACCTTACCAAATCTTTGCTGAGGTTTACATCAGTGGCCTGCCGGCCATGGATGGCTGCTGCCGATCATTTGCCGGCCAGGGAGGTGTCCTGCCGACCAGAAATGATGCACTACCAACCATAAATGGTGGCTTGCCGGCCACTGATGCACTGGGTCATCATACTACAACAGAGTACAAACAGAGAAAATAAAAGGGGTTTTTCCAAGGATTTGTTTGTACTGTGTCCCTCCTTATCATCTCAATATCTCAAAAGAGTGACACATTTGGATCCAAAAACCACCAATCAAGCAAGTTCATTGCATGATGGCCAAAGATCCAAGTTGTACAATTTTGATAAATGCACAAATATGACCAACAAGACCACCACCCTATCATGCATGATCAAGGGCAATGGAGACCTAGGAAAGTAGCACATTTCATCACTTTTGAGTATGAAATGTCCCATTTTCCTTGTGTTCAAATTAACGTCTGATTTGAGCACATGCAATGCAACACAAAGACATGCTTATCTTGTCACTTTTACTTGTCAATTTTGTTTACACATTTAAATTATCAAATCATTATTTAATCAATTTGTCCATTGGTGAGTGTCCTCTAAAGTGAAGGAAGTGTCAACCAAGGGATAATGTAAGGCAAGAGAGAGATCATGCCTTTAATAATGAACCCTCAAAGAGGATTAAACCATTAAGCATGACCTCAATCTCAAGCTTAAAGGATCCCAAGCTTGAAATAACCCTCAAAAGCAAATGAAAGAGTGAAGCAAAAATAGAGGTTGTAAAGATTTAAGTGCTGAAATTGAGTGATAAAAGCACTTAAAACATGCAGCCAAGTCACACCAATGATGTTTAAAGCCTTAAAACAACAAGCTAGTGCAAGGATTTACACTACAACTACACAAAACAAAATTCAAATGAACCAAACAGCCCAAAACAGAGTTAAAGAAGGCTATTTCAGAGGCTAAAAAATGCTAGACTTAAGCTAAGTTAAGCTAGAAAAAGATGCTAACATGTAAGGCTAACTAAGCATGCAAACAAGACACAAGGAGGGGAGACTAACCCCTCTAATTTTGGACTTCAAAATAAGATTTTTGACACTGAAAAACCTTTAAAATTCAGTGGTTAAAAGGCCCAAAAGGATTGGTTTGAAAGTGATGGATAAAGGCACAAAAGCTTTATAAAATAAGAAGCAAGAAAGGTAAACCACCCCCTAACTAAAAAAGGGCTCAAATCACAATTTTTAAGCCAAAAAAACAGAGCTTTTTACAGTTCAAAACCAACCCCAAAAACAACTGAAAAAAATAGAAAAACAAGTATTGAAAATAAGATAACAAGACTAGTATTCTACCTCTTGAAGCAAAGAACACTTTAGGCACAAGTTCAAGCCAAAACCACCTTCAAGAGCTCCAAGAAGACCCCAAGGAACCTCAGCTCAAAGGTGAGAGGATTTGGTTTAGGAGATGCAGGCAAAAGTGTAGAGAAACTAGGCAAACACACACAACTTGCAAGAGAGAGAGAGAAATCTAGAGAGTGAAATTTTTTGTCTCAAATTTTTCTAACCTCTACACATGAGACAGAGAGGGGTCTTATATATAGAAAACACAAATTTCCCTCACAAACATCCAACCACACACGTGTAGGAAGATGCATGAATCTGTGTAAGCAGCTAGCACAAAATATCATAAAATATCTGCAACGTACAATGGTAGCTAGCCGGCCATTAGTGGTGGCCGGCAAGGCTTCATTGATGGCAAGCAATGCACATCAATGGGCGGCAAAGGAGAAGTGGTGGCCGGCAGCCTCCAAGGATGGCCGGCAGGCCATCAGAAACTTTAGGCTAAAAAGACCCAGGCATGGTCCAAAGATGAGATAAAATGGATGTAGGGTTTGAAATGCTTAAAGCTGTGGCATTCCGCTAGAGACTTCACGCGTTCGGCAATCAAGCAGACTCATCATCGAATGTACCTGCGAAAACATCCAAGTCTTAAAAGGCTGTCAAAAAATGGGTTGTCTACAAAGTACCAACAAAAAAATAAACCAAGATGGAAGAGCTTAGGCTATAAAAGGAAAAAGGTGAGTGCATACTTTGTTATTGTTGTTTTAAATTAATACAACTAAATATATGTTTGATTGGACCAAATATTTTTTGCCAATTGCAATGTACTAAGGCTAGATCAACATCATCCCAAGCATCAGCATTGTGATGACCCCACCACGTATGATGATTAGCACATAATTAATTAAGGAGATTGAATATTAATTGCCAATTATTCTAGTTTAATCTGGGACTTATGAAAATTATGGAGACTAATTCATATATGATCCTATTGAGGATTTATTTTGGGCTTAGAAATTGAAAGTCTAAATGGCTCAAGAGATTATAATTGGTGAATTGAATTATTTTAATTTCGAATATCGGCCCATATGGGAGTTTAATTAAATATTCGATTTAGATTAGTAAAATTGAGATTTTATTAAGTGGGTCCAAATTACAGTTGATTAAGTTATGAGAATTGGGACTTAAGATTATTATGAATTAAATTTATTTATGAGGTATTCAATTGAATATGTAATTTATTAACGAAGATTTTGAAGTTTAATCTGAAATGGAAAGCCTTAATAATTTAAGAAACCAAAATTGAGGTTAGAAATAAGTTTAATTTGATATTTGGAGCCTTTTGGAAGTTTGATTAAAATCTGATTCAGATTGATAAATTTAAATAAAATTAATTGGGCCTTAATGGAAGTCAAATTAGACTAATTAAATTATGTGGAATTTGTGATTAGTTATGATTAATTGATTATGTGTTAATCAAGATTTATTAAGACTAAGTGTTGCTTAATTAAATTAATCCTGAGCAAATTGCATTATGGAGGAATCTAGAATTGTGGGTGTGGGTGCGCTGAGAAATTTAGGTAAGTGTACTGAGAAATCTGGTTGTGAATGTATAAGAATGTTGTGCTAGAATATTTTGTGTGTGTGTATGTTAACGTGTGTGTGTGTGTGCACATGTAAGGTGAAGGCAACAAATGACATATATAAATATATTAATATATGAGTTCATATGTATGTGCTAGAAACAGAGAGTTAGAGAAACGGAGAGAAAGCACCGGTAGAGAGAGAGAGAGAGAGAGAGATCGAAGAGAGAGAAAAAAAAAGGAGCTCTAGTCTTGTGTTAAGAATTAGGGAGAAGGCTCAAGAAATTCAATCATTGAAGATGATAGGTAAGAATTTCAAGCTTGATTGTTTTTTTTTTTTCAGATTCATTATCTAGCAACTAAAATCAAGAAGTGAATGGGATTAATTTCATGAAAAGAGAAAGAAACTAGGAAAAGAATAAAGAAAATGGAATTAAGTTTATGGACAATGAAATTGATTTAGAAATTCATCTTTTGAGAATAATTTTAATTATCTTTGATGAATTTGAGCTCTAATTTTACATGCATCATTATTTTTCAAGGGTTTGATACTTCAACTTCATATGATTAGAAAGAAATTACCAAGAAAATGAGTTAGGATCATGATTATGGAAATTAACTTAGAAATTCATTATTTTGGGTTTGATTTTGAATATCTTATATGAATTTGAGTCTTATTTTTACATGCATGTAATTTACAGAAATTAAACAATTAATTCATGAACATGGTTAAGGTTAATCAATATGAAAATAATTGTAATTCCTCAATTGAGCTTGGGTTTGGAAACCTTGATATATGAGATGTAAATTTACATGTTGTACGGGGAGCAAATATTCAGGCAAGCCCGTATTCCTTTCTTCCAAGGTCCGCTTCTGTCCGATCACCTGCGAGCACAACAGCGGTGAGCTACCCGGCGGTGTGTGGCCGGAATACCCCTCCGACGATCAAGTTAGAACACACACAGGGGATAGATAGAGAGAATGGAGAGTGTTTAGTGTATGTCTCACCAAATGTTTATCTGCCAGCGCATGAGGGGCGCAGACGTGCTTATATACCTTCTGCACCCCAAATCTACTCCCAGTGACCTCTCAACACGTGGCACTGCTATCCTATCTATCAGCATAAACCTTGCTGAGCACCACCTAACCCAACTGCCTGCCCATTCTCTTGGGAGCTCGGCAGCCGGGCAGTACTATCTCGGCCATCGTCTACCATGCTGCGCTTCATGCCCAAGTACTCCAACAGCTAAGCTCAGATGAGGACCGGACTCGGCAGCATCTCAGCAAAGCCGAGCCCGGGACAACTCACGCTTGTCTGCAGTCGACCTACCTACCGAGCAGACTGGTACCTCGGTCCAACCTTGCCTTTCCTGGCGCTGGACTTTTCACCTGACCGGCTTCGTAACCATGGATCCCTGCAGCTCGGTCAATCCAAGCACTGCCTTAACCGAGCAGCTTCCTTCAAGGCCGGGCCACACAACTTGGCCCAACACCTGTTCGCCCCAAATCTGTCTGGCCCAACTCTGTCCGGCCCAAATTTGTCCGGCCCAATTCCATATCATTAATCTCCCTCTCAATTGCCCCTTAATTCCGTCCGCTGAAGCGTGACTGGGATTACCTATCCTGACCGGGGTAATACTTCCTCGGTCCTCAATATGCAAAATGGCGACCGAGCTAGTTGACATTCCTGTCTTCAAAACTTGCCCGGTTCAACTCCTTGGTTGACATTCCTCTCCAAAAATTACCCGGTTGACCCCTCGACTCTTCATCCTGTCTCTTCAGTTCTGATGCTGCCATAAATAGGGACACGTGTCAATCCTCTATTGGTCCTCCAGCAGCCAACCCAGCCGTTCCCTCAATTTTGAATTTGGGCGGCCTCACCAGCCCTATAAACATGCATCTCCCTTCTTCGGTTCGCTCCTACTGCCTCTCTGCAATCCGACGCTTCAGAGCTCAAGCATCTTCCTTCAAACCTCGTCTGCCATTCTTTGCGTTTGTGCTCGAAGAAGCAGGCCTTCCATTGGTAAGTCCTTCAACCCATGTCATTTTCATTTGATATTTCTTCCTCTCTGGTACAAAATCCGTAAGTTTTAGGGCCTTCCCCACCCACAACCTTCAATGCCCCTTAGTTTCTTCGTTTTTCTTCAAACTGTTCTTCATTTTTCCTGAAGAACGCTGAGGATCTGGGGCTGACCGGGCTCCAGATCTTCATTTGATCCAAGAAATCAGTTTAACTAAGCAAATAAACTGTTTGCTGTAATCTTAGAAAAAACCAGAATGGCCATAGGACTTGGCCGCTCAACCGGGCTAACAACTATCCGCTTGGGCGACCGAGCTCCTAGTTAGACTTTACGACCATGGTGGTTTGGCACAATCCATGACCGAGCTAAAGTCAAGCTCGTTTTGCGCGACCGCGCTTCCTCTCATGCTTGCCATCCTTTTTCCTGAAAAGTCCAAGGGGGCCAAAGACCAATTCTGAGGCTCATAAGGACCGAACTACCACCCATTCCTAGTCTGTGCCAAACCACCTCGGCCGAGCTAGATTAGTCGGCCACATGGGGAAATTCTGCTTCCTGGTGGATACTTCGACTGCGCTAGCTGCGTTTAGGGAGGAGTACGACATCCCGGCCGACGTCCACCTTGAGCTCGTAGAAAAAAGACCACGCCTTGGGGCAGATCAGAATAATGCCCCTTCACCGTGCTGTCCATCATCGAAGGAGGCCTCCATTTCCCGCTCAATCCACTAATCACCGAATTTCTGCGCCGCACCGGGCTAGCACCCACTCAAGTGTCCACCAACACCTACCGGATAGTAAACGGTGTGCACGAATTAAACAACTGGTTAGGCATAAACCTAGGTTTAGCCGAGATACTGCGGCAGTACACCCTGGGGCACACCGGCGATGGCCTCGCCTACTACCTTAAGATTAGGCCGGGCAAAGAAAAAATTGTGACCGGCACACCAGACAAGGACTTGCATGATGACGATTTCTTCTAGGTGTCTGGAAATTATGAAACAGCCGAGGTACCTGGCTGGTTCATAAGCAAGAACTTTGGTTCCACATGTAACCTGTTCAAACTTGCTCGGTTAGCTTACTTTCTTCATAGCTCTGTACTTAACCGTTTTTCTTGTTTCTTTTGCAGCAATCCAGGCCTTGCAAGCCAACTACCAGTACCCCAACGAAGAAGCCATCAGGACCGCGCTTCGCTACCGCGACCGAGATTGCAACGAGTTGCTCAGTTACACTCCAACCTACAGATACTCTGCTCCTCGCCGGAGTAAAGTTACAGACTTTCTCCGTGCTCTATCACCTCCTCCAGATCCAACTTTGCCAGACGTTCCACTAATCCGATTGACAGAAGAGCAAGAGATGGCCAAATGAAGCCGAATCAAAAACCTGCTCACCACAACGTCTGCCGAGATACCGAGCGTCGTCATCCGCTCGCCAGCTGCCGGTCAGTCAAGCGGCGCCGTGGTTGCCCTAGCTTCTCCAGCTGCTGGGCAATCAAGCCAAGCAACACGCCGGGCTGGCAAAAGAGCTCGCGCGGACCCGTCTGCCGAGCTGATCACCGAACTAACCACCGAACAACCTACCGTCACAGCTGACCCAACACCAATCTGGCGTCCGCTACTTAAGCACCGAGGTAAAGACATCCTGGCGATAGCTTCGATCAAGGGCGACAAAGAGCACCTGCTCGCCTACGATCTTTTCAAGGACCTTCTCCTACCGAGCGACGTGGTCGGCAGCGACCACGTCCCTGACACCCGGTTGGTGAAGTCGTCCGTCAAGGCCATGGCCAGGGTAAGCTTCAATCTGTCTCTGAAATTTTCACAAGTGTTTGCACGGTTTCTTCTCTGATCAGGTTTTCCTTTTTGCAGGCCATCCAAAAACAACACTTAGTCATAGAGCGTATCCACCGACTTCGGCAAAAGGCAGCCGACACTGCCAGCCAAGTCCAAGGCCTCCAAATCGAGCTTGGTCGAGCAAAGTCCTCGCTTGAAATCGCCAATACTGACAACAACTGGTTGCTCGGCCAACTCGACGAAGCCGAGAAAAAGAGGGACGAGCTCCAGGCCGAGCTGGACGCGCTCAAGGAGTCCAGGGAGAAGGATTGTGAAGATGCCAATAATGCCGGCTTCAAAGAGGTGGAAGACAACTATAAAAAACAAGTCTTCGCCATCCAGGACATATATTTCAAAGCTGGATGGAAGGCTGCCTGTCAACAGCTCGGTCAAGGTCCTGACATTGACGTGTTTGCCTCTCCACCGGCTATTTTCTTACCGACCTGCCTCATTCCATACGCCAATGACGTCTTCAGCGCGTTGCAGGCTGAGGCCGAGGATGGACTCGAAGAAGCCGAGGCAGACGTTGAAGGAGATAACCAAACCGAGCAGGGACAACCCGGCCAGACTGGAACCGGTGTCCAGGACCAGATAGCAACGGTCAACCTGGAAGCGGATAAGGAATTCCCAGACCTCTCCCCCTTAGCTTAGTTTTCTTTTTTCTGTCTGCAAATGTAACCGGGCTAAGTTCCCCACCTTTTGTATTAACTTTTTATCAATGAAAATTTTTAATTTCATCAAGTGTTTGCACGGTTTTCTCCAACTCTTTCTTCAGCAAAACATCTTGGTTTGAACCACCTGGCCTGACCGAAATTCACATCACGGCATAAGTAGCAGAATTGAACTTCTTCAACCGGAATAACCATCTCGGTTGGAAGAACAAAGTTGAACAAATCACCAAGTCTCTCAACCGGAATAAGCCATCTCGGTTGAGAATACCTAAGCTGAACAAAACATCAACTTCTTCAACCGGAATAATCATCTCGGTTGGAACAACAAAGTTGAACAAATCACCAACTCTTTCAACCGGAGTGAACCATCTCGGTTGAGAATACCTAAGCTGAACAAAAAATCAACTCTTCCAACCAGAGTGAATCATCTCAGTTGGGAATCCTAAGTTAAATAGGTCATCAACTCTTCCAATCGGATTGAATCATCTCGGTTGGGAATCCTAAGTTGAACAAGTCATCAACTCTTCCAACTGGAGTAAATCATCTCGGTTGGGAATCCTAAGTTGAACAGGTCATCAACTCTTCCAACCGGAGTGAATCATCTCGGTTGGGAATCCTAAGTTGAACAGGTCATTAACTCTTCCAACCGGAGTGAATCATCTCGGACGGGAATTATAAGTTGAGCAAGTCATCAACTCTTCCAATCGGAGTAAATCATCTTGGTTGGGAAACTCAAAACAGAGCAATAATCAAAATGCCAAAGCAAAGAGAACACTTCTATACATTGACAA